GGTACCATCAGCAGGTAAGGCTTCCTCTTTACAGATGGTAGAAAATTAGGTCTGACATCCTTCTTTTGCAATCTACTAGTACACATGGATTCAAATAGTTATGACTGATATTTACCCCACAAACCACCCGTGGCTTGACTTTACTCCACCATGGTCAGACATTCCAATTTAAAATCTCATGGTGATCAACAATCCTCGCATCATGAACTTCAAGAACAACTTCCTTTTCTGGAAAAGTAATCACTGAGATGATGTTCCAACACTAATTCAAACATCAACCTCAATCACATGATCTTGTCATTTACTATGATTATGGAAATAACATTTAAATTAACCCATGCACATCCCTTTACACAGAACACACGAGAACCATACAACAATAGACAAATCATGCAATAATCCATATTCCACACACCTGAGAGTTAATTTTTTTAGACATCCATAAATCATCCTACCTTGGATGTCTTTTCCACTATAAAAGAATGCAAGTTCCATGTTCTTACAGACTTGATAATGATCTCCATTTTCAGTGACCATCCTCCATCCTATTTAAGAGATCCACCAGCTAGACATCCAGATGAGTTACTGCTTAAAGTCCCCTTTCTCCTATTTCATTAGAGCAAAGTAGTCACAAGTAAGATCACACAAATCTGAATCATTTTGATCAGAAAGATCTTCCAGATGTCAGAGAAGATCTCCTCGACATTTGAGTTTGACCTCCATATATAAAGAACCTGGTTAAGATGTCGAATCTCCACTAGAAGTTTAGAACCCATCCACTTCACTCCTCCTTACTTGGACCAGAAATAAACTGACCCAAGAAGTAATCAATATGTTGATCATCTCTTGACTTGTCCTCTCATCTAAGACGTGTTTCTTGGACAGAAACTTCTTAGACATACAACCCAAATACTTCTTCAACCTCAGGAGAAGGTTCCAAAAACATGTGATCAACACACATCTGTTTAGTGCCCATAGCATATGCTATGCCATATCTTTGTCCAATAGGTTTCTACATGCATTATTGATCTTAGTTCTGAAGCCATTACTTCTCTAAAAGAATTAGATCATTCCTTGACCAATTTTCCTTCAGAACTTGTTTCATCAACCACCTTTGGAAGTGCCTTTATGAGTGGACTTGAGATGAACCTCAAGTATCTTTGGTAACTTTAATATGATGGTTGAAGCCATCTTACAAGTATCACACCATCATAGGATAAACCTTTAGAGAAGGCCGGATCATGATGATTTTCCCTTATTGGTATTCCAAGAATAGTCCTTTCTATGGCATGAACACAAGGAACTACCAGAGGTTTTACATCAGATACACATGCAGTGGAACAAAAAAAAAATCCTTAGTACCCTTCAAGCACAACCTAAACACCCTTGCACACAAGCAAAATAATCCATGTGACAACAGAACAACATATGTTTGAAAATAAATCAAACACACAAATCAGAATCACAATAGCTCACCATCAAATCAATATGCCTGATAACTTCAACCATGATTATTACTCACCCTGCCACAAATAATCAATACTCTCCCTCAAGGGACCATCTAAGCAACGATATGACTTGTCTAAGTTCACACATCATCCAAGATGTCATAGAATTTGGTGGGGCATCACACATAACACCAATAACAGTTGCAGAAGCACACTATAACATTAGGAATAAACCAATCTTGATTATCTTCAGATTGTCTTCCACCTCTTGCCTTTATCAAATAACCTCTTGCACTCCTTGATTCCGTCACATGTTTTAGGAGTGTTACCACTAAAACCCCTTGTTATCACCTCAAAAAATGTATTCTTAAAATCAACCCTTTGTAGAGAGCTTCCTTTCACAAATCCACTTTCAATATCCATTGTACCAGAAAGTATCTTCCCTGAATCTCACCCAGAGACAGATCAGGATGCCTGCTCTGATACCAATTGGAATTTTGGTATTAAAATCACAAATGTCCTAAGAGATGTCGAGACACTGTAATCTGACTTCAACACAATGAAAAAAATATAACAAAATTAACAGTGCAGTAAGTAAACAACATGCATAATTGTTAACCCAGTTCGGTGTACAACAACACCTACTTTAGGGGCTACCAAGCCAGGAAGGGGAAAATCCACTAAATAGTATCAATTCAAAGCTAAACTCCACCGTTTAAAAATTATCACTTAATCACTAACCGTGCTATATTTCTACCTAAGACTCACCTAGGTATGAGATCCCTCTCACTTCCCTGACAGCCATAAACAGTGACAAGAACACAATTCAAACGAATTAGAAAACAAACTTCACAAACACACAATCCCTCTATACTTAGAATCTTAAGAGTGATTGACAATCAAGAAGTAGACACTTAATTGTACATAATTCACTCTTGCTTAAAAACTTATGAGTGATTCACAATTACGACTCAACTAACAGTTCAACTCAAGTAACAACCAATACAAGAGTGGCTCACAACAGTAAACAGACGAAGCCCTAAAGATTAATACTTTGACAACTCTGGCTAGTGTTTCATTTCATTATTGGGACTTCCTTTTTATAACCTTTTCCTGGGATGGATTGGGCTTTAAAACCGCAACAAGTCGACTGCTACAAATCAGTAGAGACTTCTGCACAAAGTCTCTAAAAACTTCTCCATGAAAATAGGTCTTCAATCATAATTTTCCTAAAATGAATCAATATTGAATAACTTGAATACCATCATATATCTTTGATTTCTCAGTCTTGGATTCCACATATGATTACTAAATATTCCCAGAATATTTAACATTTGTAACACACTAACAGAATCTAAAAGTCCAGCTGTAACAGACATGGTGTCAAATGATTCTGCATAGGACATCTTGTTTAACATGTTTTCTTTGCAAGTAGAACATCTTATTTAACATGTTGCTGCCTAATTTGTTTTACTAAAATTATTGCCAATCATCAAAATAGAGAATTAACAATTTCAATTAGGATTAGGGTAATTCAGTGTTATGTTTTCACACTATGAATGTAATCTTCTGTTGGTTTAATGAATAATGTTATTATCTGTTTTAACACATTAGAAATGTTTGTTCATTATTCTCTGTTTTAACACTGATACATAACCGGGATAAATGTTGGAACAAAATATGACCTGTGAAACATGCCGCTAAAGGGACCTTATTGTTACAAATTAAAATATTTAATAGACTAATGTGCAACAAATGATAAAGTTAAGGGACTTAATTGAAACCTTATAGAAAGATAAGGGACCAAATTTTATTGTATCAGAATAGAACATACTACTAGCAGAGAATTTCACATAACTGGGAATTATAATCCATTTCAATATTTATTAATAGATCAGAATATAATTACATATGAATTGGCATTAGAAGCCTAAACAATATTTAATAACAGAAGGCCATTATAAGGCATATCTATAACATTCCAAAAAGTGATACAAAAATGCATTATAAACCATTGTCAGTAAGCCATAATTAGGCATATTAATAACATTACAAAAGGAATTATAAGCCATGTCATTGAGCCATTATAAGGCATATCAAAATGATATTACAAAATGTGACCAACATAATAACAAACATCAAGGTTGACTTGAAACAGGCTTCCCATCCTTTTGAAGTTTTTTTTCTTCTTTTTGAGTGGGGGATGACTTGAAATAGATGGTTGTGGTGGCTGCCTTGAAATAGATGGTTGTGGAGTTATTTCTCGTGGTTCCTAAGTTGAGGTTTCTTCTGGTACACGACTTAGAGGTGCTTATGGTTATGGTAGTTTACATGTGGCCTTGTTGTGACCATCCTTGTCGCAATAAATGCACCTGATTCCATGTTTTTCCCGTTTCAAGTGTGCCTCATTCCTCACCATTTCTCTATCTTCTATATTCCTCTTTTTCTTGGGCCTTCCCGGTTGTCTCTTTATTGGTGGTGGCTGGAGATCAACAACATCAAATTTTTTCCACAAAGCTTCCCCATTAACTGGATAAAGAACTGGTGCATAACAAGCTTCATAGAGTTCCTTCTTATAACAGCCGAGTATAAAATCATCAATTTGTAAATGTTGATCCTTCATACATGACATTGCATGACAGCATGGTAACTCTGTCAACATCCACATTCTACACGAGCATTCTTTCTTGTAAAGATTAACAACATATTTTTCTCCATCGAGTGATATATGTCTAACCTCGTAGTCATATTCACCTACATGCTGTAAAACACGGTGAATATTCAACATAAGCCAATTTAATGTGAGACATATAACAGAGTAAAAGGACAACAAATTAATCATATCACCTCACAATCTAATGGTTTGTTTTCTCTGACTCCCTCGCCATCCTCTTTTTGATGTTTGGTAGTACTATGCCTTCATATTTTCCAATCTTTTGCCTATTTGATTCCCATATTTGCATTAGATACAGTCTAATTTCTTCAAGCATTGTCATAATTGGCATGGCTTTAGCAGCTACAAACACAAAGTTAAATGCCTCAGACATATTATTGATCAAAGTGTCATAACCTATACTTGTCCTGAACCTTTATTTGCTCCAGAATCTTGATATGATGATATTTAAACAATTGTGAAATAAGTATAGGTTGTTGATCACTTATGAAGGTATAGGTTATGCACAATCTGACTCCTCCCAAATCAGTTGTCAATAATTCTAAAAAACAGCCCCATAATTCTTTAGTTTCACCCTCAACAATAACATATGCAATTGGAAGCATTTGGTCATTTGGGTCCCTCTCAATGGTATATAGTATTTGTCCACCATAATATCCCTTTAAGAAACACCCATCTAATCCTATAATAGGTCTGCACTTGAAAAAACTTTCCTTGCAAGCTTTGAAGCATATATACATCCTTTGGAAGTGAGAATTCATTTTCCTCTCAGGGTGTTCACTATTTTCCTCTTCTCCTTAAAGGTTACAAAATCATCCTTTACAATCTCATCATTATCACTATCAATACTCATGAGGTAATTCATCACTATCATACTCTTAAATGTCACTTAATCCTCTTAAATTTTCCTCTAAGATATGACCTTCATTCACATCACCAAGTGAACCACTCCCTTCACTTGATCCTTCCATATTTCCCTTGCCTTTTTCCTTACCCTTTGCCTTTCCATTTTCCTTGCCCTTTGCCTTTCCCTTTGTACTCACTTTCTCATCATCAACTGTTATCTCTCCATCAATTCCTATATCATTCTCCGAGTCTTCAAAATTGACATCTAAAGGACTGTCTTCACTACCCTTTTCCCTCACCTCCACTCATGTTTCCAATCCCTCATCTTCTATCTGGTTAATGTTTAGTCCCTCATTATTCCTTATAATTCTATATTTGGTTGGTTACAATCAACTCCCTCATTTTTTGTCTGGTTACCATTAACTCCCTCAACTTATGCCTGATTACAATTGAGTCCCTCAGTGGTCCCTACATTATCCTCAATGTCATAGTTTGTCCCCTCATCACCCACGTTCTCCTCGATGTTACAGTTTTTCCCCTCATCACCCACATTGGTCCCCATATTTATACTCTCCTACACCACATCCACAACATCTTCATTAACTCCTAAGTCAACTCCCGCATCAACAACATTTTCATTAACTCCCAAGTTATCTCCCTCATGCACAACATCTTCATTAACTCCTACTCCAGCCCTGTCATCACCCGCAACAATTTCATCAACTCCTAAGTCAGCTCCCACATCCACAACAACTTCATCATTGAGTTCTAATGAAAGAATTTGTTCATCAATAACGCTAAACTATGAAAGAGGATGAGTAACATATAAATGACATTCTCCAGTCATTACTGTAATTATTTTCATCCTCTTAGTTCCCTTGTCATCCTCCAACATCACAATATCACAAACATTCATTTCATTGTAATACCAAAGTTTATCTATAGTTGGATAACCTAACTCTTTTAACTCGCCTAAAATTTCAAAGTAACTCCAATAATCCAGACCAACATCCTAAATGGTGTCTAACCCTTTATACCCTGACTTTGTGAAGTTAGCAAACTACCTAGAAAACTCACCAGAATGATGAACAACACACTTAAACCTCTTCTCCATTACCTATTCAACCTACATAAGATAGCAGAAGTACTAAGGAAGATGGCTAAAAAAAGTTCACGTTTTTAGTAGGTTACAGGTGAGAAATCATAGCTTAGTCGTATAACTTTGTTATCTTTTTTTATGAAACTATTATTGCCATCGTCTTCAATGGAGTCGGTATGTGGAACTATTGTTGTTATCGTCTTCAATGAAAAGCTGGTCGTATAGCTACATTATCTTCTTTGGTGGAACTATTAAGAGAAATTGTCTTCGATGGAAGGTGTTAAAGCAATCGTCTTCATTTGCCCTAACCTAACCTTTCAGATTCATTTGTTTTTTAAGTTCAAAGACTTACCCCAATATTAAGATAAATAAATTTCACACCAGATATAAAAAATCCAGCACGACATCTTTTAACGTTTTTCCAATAAAAACTAATGAAAAAGACCTAATAGTTTAATGGAAGTAAAATTTAATATTTTTTAGTTAAGAGACCAAAACGAAACTTCTTATAAAATTAAGGAATAAAATGATGCATTAAACCTAATTTTAAAATATACATATATATATATATATATATATATATATATATATATATATATATATATATATATATATATATATATATATATATATATATATATATATATATATATATATATATAATATAAATGTTGAATTTTTTCAAGGACCAAGCCAAATCTAGCGTTATATCCTTAGATATTATTCCCTTAACAATGCCTCCAAATTAAAGAAATGCCTAGAATGGAACAAAGTACCACACTAAATTTGCACTATATCATCAACTTTGAGTCTACTTAAATTCATTATGTGGGGGACAATTTCATGTTGCGTAGTACACAGAACATAAACTAAATAATAATCACTAATGACCATCAATAGATTGTTGAAATTCTTGAGAATTTTACAGCCTTGAGTCGGTGGGCATTAGATGCCAATTCCAATTTCGCAGTGCTAGTCATATATATTCGGAAACAATATAAACCTTAAGCACAATATTGGAAAGCTGTGCAAAGATATTATGCGTCCTTTCTATACCTAGATAACTCTAGAATCATTATCTTGTCATTTATTTTTGCAACTTGATGTAATATACTCTTTTTTTTATCAATGACATCATGTGTTTCCCGTAAGAAATCGAGAATATTGGCCCAATTGTGCTCAGATTAACTCATCTGTACGTATAAGCGTGAATAGTAATGTCTTGTCTCACAAAAAGTTTAGTGTACGATTTCAGTCTGCATGAATATGGGTATATTGATAGATGCGATTATGTCAGAAATTGATATAGGTCGACTAGAATAGAGTTTTGAGTTCCGGCACCCTATAGTAATTAAGAATGAGAGGTTAGAAATAATTTATATTTTGATGGTGTTGTTTAGAAAGTATTCTGATTCAAAAATAGAAATTTTTGAAGTTGCTGTGTTGGTCTAAAAGCGTGTCTAATTTTTGAATATGTAGTTAGTTGTTTGTTATTTACTGTTTGTTTTAAACTTTGTTAGTTGTGTTTGTGTGGCGATTTTATTTTGTGTATTTAAAAAATATATGTAACTGAATTTCAACAAATAGTGAATTTACAAGTTTTTCATAATAGAGTTTTTCTCTCTCTAAAAGTTTGTTATAACGGTTTCTCTTTCTTTCTCTTCATCCCTCTTCTTCCATCTTCATCTTCAACCTTTTGCACCAATATTTGGTACATAGAACCCAAGTTTGATTCACAGAGAAACACGAGTGTACGTGAAACGTGTGTAATTGATTTTGCTTTCTTGAATTCACGTTGAATTCACGATCGAAATCGTAACAAAATTGTATTTCTTGATTTTGCGGGATCCAGAAACACGAGTGTTTGGTGAGATCTGAAAAGTGTTTGAGTTTTTTAGTGCATAAGAACAAAGATGAACAGGGGAAACAATTTGAATACAAAGCTTCTGGTGTTTGATGGAAAGAATTAGAATCAATGGATAATTCAAAGGCATATGTTGTTTGGTGCTCAAGACGTTCTTGATCTTGTTATCGAAGATTACATTCTGGTTGCAGCGGATGCGACAGAGGAACAAAGAAACGCATAAAGAGAAACGCATAAAGAGAAACGAGGAAGAAACATCAGAAAGCGTTGTTCTACATTCTTCAGTGTGTGAAAACGAATATATTTGAGAAAATTGTTGATTTGACGACGACGAAGGATGCATGTAATATACTGACACAGTGCTATGGCGGTGATGCGTCAGTGAAGAAGGTGAAACTTCAGTCTCTATGTAAGTAGTATGAGAATCTCAACTTGAAGAATAATGAGAAGGTACCTGATTATATCTCTAGAGTGTTTTTGATCACAAATGAGATGAAATCTTGTGGAGAAACTTTGTCTGAACAATTGATCACTGAGAAGGTATTGAGATCTCTTACTCCTCGATTTGATTATATTGTTGTAGCAATTAAACATTCTAAAGATCTGAACACCATGAGAATCGAAGATTTATAAATTAGTCTATAGGAACAAGAGTTATGTCTGACTGAGAGAACCTCTGAGATAGAGGTAGAGCAGGCTCTGAAGGCGTCTTCTGGTAAAAAGTATCAGAAGCAGTCTTGGTCAGAGGCCAAAAAGAGACATAATGTTTCTCAGAAGTCAGAAGCCTCTAATTATGATGAGAAGAAATATCAGAAGGGAAGGAGAAGTTTGGAAAGAAGAAGGTTCAATGCTACTGGTGTAAGCAATTTGGCCACTTTGCTAAGGATTGTTGGTCAAACAAGGAAAGGAAATCAGAAGACGCAAACATAGTCAGAGGAGATTCTGATGATGAACCTGTTCTATTAATGCTTTCTGAGTCTGATGGTAGGTATTTGGTAGATTGGAGGTATATGGACAATGGCTTCTCAAATAACTTAACTGTAAATAAACAATGACTGATTAATTTTGACTCTAGAAAGAGGACAAAAATCAGATGTGCTGATGGTAAGTACCTTAATGCAGAAAGTATGAGAAATGTTAAAGTCAGAGTGAAGAATGGAAGAAATGTCCTGATCAAAGGTGTTTGATATGTTCTTGGGATAAAGAGAAATTTGATGAGTGTAGGTCAGCTCATTGAGAAAGATTTCTCAGTTATCATGAAGAACAATCTCTTGAAGTTGTATGACTATAATCAGAAGCTGATTATGCAATCTGAGAAGGAAAGCAACATAACATTCAAGGTGAATGTGGAGACAATTGAAACTAAATTCCTTACTGCAGAAGACGCTGAAGGTGACAGTGAGTTGTGGCATAAGAGATTGGAGCATCTGAACTTCAAAAGCTTAGGGCATCTAAGTTCTAAGAAGCTGGTACATGCCGAAGATTGTGAAGCCTGAGAAGTCATACGAGGTATGCATTAAAGGCAAGCAACCCGGATTTCTATTTACGTCAGAAGTAGACCCAAGAGCAGAGTATGCTTTGGGAGTAGTGCATTATGATGTATGTGGACCATTCACTGGAAGAAAATAAGTATTTTGTGTCGTTTGTGGATGAGTTCACAAGAATAACATGGATAACACTTATCAAGTTTAAGCATGAGGTGTCTATTAATTTTAATAAGTTTAAGGTGAAGGCTGAGAAACAGAGTGGTCAGAAGCCGAACGTTCTCAAAACTGACAGTAGAGGTGAGTATAACTCTATAGAGTTCCAAAAGTTCTGTGAGGAGAATTGAATTGAGCATGAGGTTACAACTCCATACTCCTCATCACAATGGTCTTGCTGAAAGAAGAAATATAATTTGCTTGATATGAAAAAGAGCACGCTGAAAGAGAAGAAGAGGCCTCACACCTAGTAGGGAGAAGTTATTTCCATTTCAACGTATGTGCTTAGTAATTGTCAAACGAAGAAGCTGAAGGAAACTATTCCTTTAGAGAAGTGGAATGGAGATAAGTAAAGTGTGAGTCATTTCAAGGTATTTGGTTCAGTTTGTTACAAACATGTTATAGATGCTAAAAGAAAGAAGTTGGATGATATAAGCAAAGTAATGTTGCTGATTGGGTACCACAGTACAGGTGCGTACAAGCTTTATTGTCCAGTCACTAATAAGGTTGAATTCATTAGAGACATCTTTGTAAAGGATTCAGAAACATAGGATTGGAGCAAGTCTCAATCCAACTCTGGTGTAGTGTTAACACCTAAGGTAACTTCTGAAGATCGTTCAGAATCTGAAGATTCTAAAGACGAGTCAGAGTCAAAAGATGATTCTTATTCAAAAGGTGAATCTGATTCTGATCTAGATTCTGATGATGATCCATAATCTAGTGGTCAAGACTCTGGTGGTCATGCTTCTGAACATGGAATTTCTAAAGGTGGAGCTTCCGAGGCGGTCCAACTTTTGAAAGAAGTCTAGAAGGTGATATGGTTCCAGAATCAGAAGGAGATTTTGAACAAGTCCAAAGGCCATAACGAATTAGATAAATACCAATGAGATTTGTAGATTTTGACATGTTATAAGATACTGAAGTAGACTCTGAGAGAGAAGTCAATCAGTGTGCCATGTTAGTAGACTCTGAACCAGTTAGTGTTGAAGAACCTCTCAAGAAGAAAGTGTGACTAAAGGCCATGAAAAAAGAACTTGAGGCGATAGAAAGAAACAAGAATTGAGAGTTGACTAAGCTTCCAAAGGAGAAGAAAGCCATCGGCGCCAGATGGGTTTTCAAGATAAAGTTGAAACCAGATAGATTAATTGGCAAACACAAAGCAATGTTAGTAGCTAGAAGATTTCTACAGAAATCTGGACTAGATTACTTTGAGGTGTTTGCATCTGTAGCTAGGCATGAAACTATTAGATTGGTTATTGCTATAGCTGCTAATAAAAATTGGCCTCTTATACATCTAGATGTGAAATCAACATTTCTAGATGGTCCATTACAAGAAGAGGTATATAAGAAGAGGAATGAATGGTGTACAAGTTACATAAAGCATTGTATAGATTGAAATAAGCTCCTAGAGCTTGGAATCTGAAAATTGATTCATTTTTTAAGATACAAGG